GCGCAAACGGAGGCAGCGGCGGCAGTAGCTCTTGCAACAACCAGGACTTGCTCACAAACCTGCTGGTGTATCAGTACCTGTCCGGCTCCATCCCCGGCGGTTCATCTCCCGGCTCAAACCCTGAACTGAGGGCGCTTCTGGGATCGGTAAGGAGCAGTAGGGTCGTTGTTCGCCTGTGGGAAATCACGAAGGGAAGGGGAAATATGTTCTAGTCGGATCATATTTTTTCGTGATTGATAGACTGTTCAAATGTCTGGATTCATGAGATATTTGTTCTTGTTCTTGTCAGTGCTGCATTATTATCCTTATTATTATCATCATTAGTATAATTAGTAGTAGAAGTAGTGGCAGTAAAAGTAGTATTAGTATCTGTATTATTATTATTATTGCTATTATTATTATTATTATTATTATTATTATCATTATCATTATCATTATTATTATTATTACTATTATCATTATCATTATCATTATTATTATTATTATTATTAGCATTAGCATTATTATCATTATCATTATCATTATCATAATTATCATTATCATCCTTGCCCTCACCATCATCATTATCCTCCTCATTATCCACACTATAACCAATCCCCACTCACCTTCCCTTGCTCCGCCCCAGGCATCGGCCACGACGACGGTGACCTCGGTTTCGACTTCGCTGACGACCCTCGTAGTCGAAGTGGAGCCGACGACGCAGTTCACGACCTCGACGACCTCCTACGTCACCACGCTGACCTCGATCGAAACCAAGGTCATCCCCGTCATCTTCCGAGGCTCTAAGATCACCACGACCGTCAGTGAATCTTCGGAGGAGGTGAGGTCATCGGGGTCATATAGAAAAAAGGTCACGAGAGGTTATAAAGTTCGAGGGTGACCTTTCGAGGAGGAGAGGCAAGGGTTTACTTAAAGACTTCAAGGCAGAAAAACGACAGATCACGAGAGGTTATAAAGTTCGAGGGTGACCTTTCATGGAGGAGAGGCAAGGACTACCAAAGACTTCAAAGCAGAAAACGACAGGTCATAAAAAGGTCACGAGAGGTCAAAGTTCGAAGTTACCTTTTCTCGGAGACGCAGGGATTACTAAAGACTTCAAAGCAAAGTAAAACGACAAAGGAATTACTTTAGTTTAGATCTTAAAGGCAGAAAGGAAAATGGCTCATCATTAATAAACATAAGGATCTTTGGAAAATGATGACGTTTCTTGTTTTGACTGGAGAGATCGAGAGACAGGAATGGGATTAGCTAAGAAATTTCATTATGTTTTTCTAGAGTATCCTTTCTAGATGAACGTTATTGTTACAATACTCACATAATACGCACATATATATACACAGAAACATACGTGTGTGCGTGCGTGCGTGTGTGTGTGTGTGTGTGTGTGTGTGTGTGTGTGTGTGTGTGTGTGTGTGTGTGTGTGTGTGTGTGTGTGTGTGTGTGTGTGTGTGTGTGTGTGTGTGTGTGTGTGTGTGTGTGTGTATGTGTGTGTGTGTGTGTGTGTGTGTGTTCGTGCCATCATTTGCAGCCCTGCTGTTCAATTTACTCCGGTACATTTACTCTGCCTGGCCTTGCCGTTATAGTTTCAGATTTCATAGAAAATATTTCAGATTGTTAACGAAGGCATTACTCTCATATGGATATATACACATACTTCCTTTTATGTATTTATGTATGCATCTCTTTCTGTTTTTTTTTTTATTTGTCTCTTTTTATATGCGTATAAACCCATTGCTGAACACACACATACACACAAACACACACATACGCGAGCGCGCGCGTGCACACGGACACAGGCACACACGCACACGGACACACACACACACACACACACACACACACACACACGCACGCACGCACGCACGCACACACACACACACACACACACACACACACACACACACACACACACACACACACGCAGATGCACACGGACACACAGACACACACACACATACACGTATGAGTGTGTGTGTATATGTCCATATATAAATACACAGTATATATAAACATGCATGCAAACATACAATACATACATACATACATACATACATACATACATATATATACACATACATACACAAACTTTACATCTGCACTTGAAACATGTACGATTTTCTGTATAAATATCCTAGTTCTTCATCTGTTCTGTCCACACAACATGATTTCATTCTAGATTGTTCTATCCACTGTGCAGTAAAAAGCATTACATGTACACAGTGAATACACACGAATTGCAGGGATATGCGTGTTAGTACAATCTTAAAATTTGTAATATCTTTATCAAAGTATTCAAATTATTTAATATATAATACTTATACGATGCCCGAATGCCCCTTCCTCTGTGATGAAATTGATCAGCCAAATCCATCGCAGAAACACAGCGTGTAATGCTGCTCACTCGGCATATTTTGAAACGTGAATTAATTACGGAATCACGTTGCATAAGCATTCTTATTTGCGCGTATTGAAAGCACCGTACGTAACCCCGGAAGGCGATTCAGAGAGGTAGAGTAATAGTGCGTCTTTAGAATAAAAAGGAAGAGATGAGAAATAGGAAGCGGGAGTAAAGGAAGGAACGAGAAGAGGGGAAGATAAGACAGCTTCGATAATTGGGAAGGAGTGAATAAAACAGGGAGATATACAAACGGGAATATTGGGAAAGGAAGGATTGACGTCCAGACAGACTGAATGAACAGGGGATCTTTTTTTTTTTGGTTTCTTTCTTTCTGACAAAATACGTTATTTATACAAAGCTCCTCCAGTGTGTTGTAGGTTAGAGTTGCATAAAAGTGTAGAGAAGAGAATAAACCAAAGGTGATATAGACATCACTAATAACAGACTATTTACAAGACTAGTAGAAGGTAAAGCCAGGTCGGAACCCGGACCACCTCTGAACACCTTTAATAATGAAGAGAAGACAGGTACTGGACGCCCATCGACTGCCAACAAAGCACCATCGCCTGGACGACTGGACGAGTAGTGATGGCTTATGTGACAACACTGTCAGATAAGTAACAGTGCGATCTTGATGTGGCTATCACAATCCTTCATAGACTTTGCATGATATACACAGACATTCCGGGAAACGTTGGGAAGTGGTTGTTTTTCTTCTGTTTTTTTTTTCTCTTCTTTTGTGTATCGATAAAAGGCTCACTGTTCGGTTTACTTATACTGCATGTGTCCCTGTTACGTGGCATTGCTTAATGATTAATGCCTATTTTCGACAGCATGCATGTCGGAATGAGGTTTAAAGTACATTGTTATGATTTGCGTTTTGGTGAATGCTATTGATCTGAATTATATTCTTTGTTCTCATTAAGGGGGATCAAGTATCAGTATATCTGGGCGGTGGGGATTGACACGCATGGATCTGTCCTTAACTAACACGCAAAATCCGTATCTGTTCCAGGTCATCACTGCAACAGAATACTTCACCGAGTCGTCCGTGTTCACGCCGTCCATCGTCCAGACACTCCCGGTGCACATCACAGTCACGGCCACCAGTACAAGAGGCTTGAATGGCCGGTTCACCTTGGCCAACCTGACCCCTGGGCCGACTTCGGTCGTCCATCAGCCGATCTCCACTGCGACACTCGACCTCGACTCTACGGGTCTCGACCTGGCGAACCTCGATCTCTCGCAGCTGGATATCTCTAGTCTGGTGGGAAGCAGCGCTGGATCTGACCAGGACAGCAACCAGATGCTCTCTGTTCTGTCGTCTCTCCTGCAGCAGTATGACGACACTGGGGCACCCGCGCCCTCTGGCCTGGCCCCAAGCATCTCGAACGACAGGAGGCAGCCAAGTGGGGGCTTCAGAAGCAACAGATTCAGCAGCAGTGCCAGCAGCAGCTTCCAAGACGACTACGTGGACTACGAGGAGCCCGTTGACGACACGCCCAAGTTTAATGTGCTGCGAGGCTTCACCCTGAGCGACCGCGTGGCCAGCTCCTCGTCGGGCGGAGGCACCGGAAGGGCTGCCACGGACACGCGCTACAGCAAGTTCCAGCGCAAGGATCGCGTCACCAACAATGGAATCGCCACGACCGAATCTAGTGCGAGGGACCGCGAGAGCGAGCCGTTCCAAGCCTCAACGAGACGCCAGTCATTCTCCAGAGCGTCTGGGAATCGTCGAACAACGACCGGAGGACAGAGGAGAAGCCGAGCTCCAAGTACCAGGTTCGTGCCGGCTACTGAATCCCAGTACTTCGAGGAAGTCAAGTTCCGTCCATTCGGTGCACGTCGGGATCGGGAGACCACGTCCTCGCGGCGTCGTAGCGGACGCCTGGACGACCCAGAGCAGCCAGCCACGCGCAGCACATCTGTTTCCAAACCCACACCGAGTAACGTGCGAACCACAGTCCTAACTATGTATCTCAGCGGCTCCGAACCTGGGGAGTTCCACACTTCTCTCCGTACCGTCACTCTGCGGTCCCTTCCCTCCAGTCGTAATCGCCGAGACGTGGACCACCAGTCGACCACCAAGATCCTCCCAACAGCCACAGAAACGCCAGCCGCGGCAGGATACACGAAAGCCTTGGATTTGCCCAAAGCCGCTGATCCAAAGGAAATAGTTCAAGTTTTGAAGTCATTAGACTCGTCCCAGGTCAAACAGATGCTAAAATCGTTGCAGAAATGGGTGGACTTCTACAGTCACGAAGTCCTCGACGAATCCCACAACAACATAGTTCCAGAGCTGACTTCGTCCATCAACCTCGAGTCCTCAGGAGTGGAGAACGAGGCCACGACAGAACTGAACCTGACACCCACAGCAGTCACGGGTTCCCCTTCAGCTACGAACAACCTGTGCCACGCTCCCCCGACAGTCACCCAAACTGTCTACCGCACGATGGTGGTTACGACGACGGTCTCGGAAGTCTGAGCAACTTAGGCTGACTTGAGACGTCCAAAAAGAAACTGTCAGGATGTGGCGACGTCCCCTCAAGTCCCTCCTGGAGAGCGGCAGGTGGGGGACACCCAATAGCCCGGTGGTATTTAT